AGAGAGAGAGAGAGAGAGAGAGAGAGAGAGAGAGAGAGAGAACAAATAAGCAGTTCAGTAATCAATAAACCTGCAATCAAGCTTCCACTTTCATGAGAATTTTTTGCTCTAAAAAAGTGATGAGTGTCCTAAAGATGGTGTGATGGGGGGCTGGAGAGATGGCTCAGTGACTGCTCTTGCAGAGGATCCGGGTTCGATTCCCACCACCCACATGGCAGCTATGAACCATTCTTAACTCCAGTTCCAGGAGAATCCGAAGCCCTCTTCTGACCGCCGCATTGCACAACACGGGTGCACACACATACATGCAGGCAATACACTCATACACATAAAATAAAAATAATAAATAAAAATATTTTAAAAAATAAGTTCATTAAACCATAATCTGTTATGAACAGATATGTTAACAATGCACGGTGGCCCATTTACAGGCCAGGCAAAGAGATACCACACCAAGAATTTGTCAGCATTTACTCAACTGCAAATATGCAGGGGAAGTACTACTAGCAGACAAATATGCCTGTCTTGAGAGCAAGCTGTAAACTCCACACGGGAAAAGTCGGCCAATCAACTGCCCAGCGTGCTTCATTCTGGACTCAGCCAGCATACAGGTTCTGTGATTCCTCCTGCCTCTCCTGACAGGGAAGGTACACAGGTCTATGTGGTGAAAGGTGGGGAAGCAATTTTAGAGTGATTTACACCAGCCTCCTAATAAGCAGAACTATTAGACCAAATACCAAGAATGTGTAGGCTTTAGTGGTTTCACATCGCAGTGAGATTAGGAGCATGCTCCGCCCCAACCTTACCCGACCTAGCACTTGGGATCAAACCCAGGGCTTTGTGCAGGCTAGGCCAGTGCTTTATTACAAATTTCCAGCTTTGGATTGTACATTTAAAAAGTCGAGAAAGTTGGGTATGGTGACACTCTCCTGTAATCCTTAAGTCAGGAGGATTACTTGAGTCCAGGGGTTTCAGGCCAAACTGGGGAAGACACTAAGACCCCATTCTCAAAATATGTAAATATGGGTCCAGCTTGGCACACACGTTTAATCCCAGCATTCAGGAGGCCAGGTCACGTCTACATAATCAGTTCTAGGCCAACTGGGGCTAGAGACCCTGTCTCAGAACAAAATAAAACAAAAACATAAATACAACAAATGGAAAATAATTCTCGGTAACTCTCTTTTAGGGATAATCTCATATGGTGCTGGAAAGATGTCTCAATGGGTAAAACCTACTGTCAAACCTGATGACCTGAGTTCACCATCCCTGATACCCACACAGCAGAAGGCAAGAACTGACTCCTGCAAGTTGTCCCAACTTCCCTTGCACATGTACTGTGGCACATGTGTGCTAAAGACATATATAGATGTTGGGGACCCCTGTTGTGTAAAGTAGCAGTCTCTCCATGTCCGGATAGCCCATGGGCTCGGCTTCATATGCAGAGACTCCTTTTATCAGCAGGGTGCCTTCCCGGCATCTTCCTGACTCATCTTTTGAAGTAGCCATGGCATCGGGCTCTGAAACTGTCAGGTTTTCCTGTGTGATTTTCAGACAATGTCTGGCAGCCTGGCAAGAGCCCACCACCACATGTAAATGAGGCATCCTAAAAGTACCTATCAGCTAAGGCTTTTACCACTACCCCCACAGTATAAAGTATCCTGGTTTTCCCTCAATAATCGGAGCTGGATCACTAAGGCTTGGAGCCGAGCTAAGTCACTGAATAAAGGGGCTGTACCACTGACTGAGCTGAGTTCTGTGTGTGATCCTGCCTCTCCAGAGAGAGCCGTCTCTTCGTAAACCGACTCACAGAAATCCAGCTTTTGCCATCGTGCACCTCCCCTCGTGACCCGGCAGCTGACGGTCGGAACTTAGAGAGAGAGTGCCCGGTAGATTGGAACAGAACCCGCCTGGAAATGCAGCAATCAGTAGAGTCGCCAGCATCCAGTAGTCGCGGAGAGCCTCAGCAACACGGTGCTTGACACGCGCGCACCCCAGCAACGCGGCTTGTGGGACCCGCTCCAGCGGCGTGGGAGAGACAGGCGCCAGCCAGCAGCTGGCGTTCCGCGAAACCCGATTTAATATAGAGGTCAAGCTGCAAAAAACATGTCCTGTATAGCATTTTAAAACTTTTTTGTGGGTAACTGCCAGCCTTATATTTCTAACCTGGTTCACAAGTCCAGAGTAATTTCCAAATGCTTAATGGGAGTCTGGCCTGGTAGTACACACCTGTAACACCCCAGCAGCTGGAAGGCTGAGGTGGGACAATCAAGAATTCGATGCCACCCTGAGCTATACTGTGACTCCAGGCCAGCAGGTCTACACAGTGAGAGACCCTCTCTCAACAAAATAAAGGAGGGGGTGGAGGTGCAAGTTTGTAATCCCAGCACTTAGGGGCGGAGGCAGGAAGATGGGAAAATCAGTTCTCAAAGCCAGGCCCAACTACACAGCAAGTTAGAAGCTAGCCTAGACTACATGAGACCCTGCCTCAAAAATAACAAAACCTCCCCTAAAGAAACAAACAAGGGTTTAAGAGATGGCTCAGTGGTTAAGAGCACTGACTGCTCTTGCAGAGGACCTGGGTTTGATTCCCAGCACCCATCTGTAGCTCCAGTTCCAGGGGATCTGACGTCTTCTTCTGACCTCACTGGGCATTGCATGACACAGGTGTACTTAACACACATGCAGGCAATACACTCATACACATAAAATAAAAATAATATTTTTTAAAAAGAAACAAAACAAAGCCCCAATAAACGAAATTAAATGTCACTTAAAACACCTATCGAACAATCTGTACTTGCAACTAAGGGATTTTTTTTTTAAATGTTATTCTGGAAAGAGCTACAAACTGCCAGCCACACTAAGCACGGATCTAAGACTGTTAGAAAGCAGCAAAAACCATCACTTCTGAAAAACAGAATCCTCATCTGAGAGCCGTTTCTTCCCACTCATGATAAAGAGGGGTAATACCGGACCGTGCACACACACGAAGGCAGTCACCGCAGGACAGCAGTCCGGACAAGAAGAGGCAGGAGTGGATTCTCTGGCCCCGGGGCGCTGAGGACTCCGGGGCAGAGGCGCAGGGCCGAGGCGCGAAGGGCTCGGGGATGGGGACTGCGGGGCGCGGGGTTCCCGGGCCGGGGACCGGCCTACCCGACGCGGGGCTCCCCGCCTGGACATCAGGTCCCCGCTCCCTCGCGGCCACTGACCGACTTGACGGCGGCCTCCTGCTCGTCCACCGCCAGGGCCCACGAGTCGGTGGCCATGGTCCCGGGCGAAGTCTACTCGCGAATCGCTGCGCCCCCGACACCGCGCGGAAGCCAGCGGAGTCCCCGCCTGCGCCAGGCAGCACTCACACGGACCGGAAGCAGAGGTGCGCGGAGACGACGTCATTCCGGCCCCGGGCGCCAACTCTTCAGCCGTTCAGTGTGCGTTTCTCCAGATGGTACTTGGTCATGTGTCAGTTCCTGGAGTCCTAGGAAGAGACACCCTCGGGCCTCGTTTCCTAGTGACGTTGTGCCCCGTTTGGGGGTATTTTGAAACAAGGTCTCACGTTGTTGGCGGCCTTGAACGCCGTACCCTCTCCACCTCCCGAAAGCGGGGATTACAGGCGTGCGCTACCTGGCCTGCAGATAGAGTCCTGTGTCAGCAGCAGAAAATGCATTATCTAGGGTGTTTTGTTCGGAAACTGTCTCAATATTTCCCACACTTGCCTCAAATGTGTGGGCCCAACGTGTCCTCCCATGTCAGCCCTCAGTAGCTAAAAGATATATTAAAAAACAACAGGATAAACCGGGCGTGGTAGCGCACGCCTTTAATTCCAGCACTCAGAGGCAGAGGCAGGCGGATCCCTGTGAGTTCAAGGCCAGTCTGGTCTACATAGCGAGTTCCAGGACAGCGGTGATAAAGGGAAACTTTGTCTAAAAAAAAAAAAAAAAAAAAAAAAAAAGGACAGAGGGATTGAGCAGTTGTGAAGAGCACATACTGCTCTTGCACCTCAATGAGCTCAAACTTCCTCTAACTCCAGAAGATTCCAGGCCCTTTTCTGTCCTGCACTTGCACTCAAACGCACATAATAAAAAATGGTAAAAGCCTAGTCTTAGTGGTACAGAACCTCCTGAGGCAGAGGCAGGTGGATCACTCTGAGTTCTGGAACTTGCTATGAAGACCAGCCTGGCCTGAATCTTTCAGTGATCTGCCTGCCTCTGTCTCATTCTTTATATGCACCAGCGAGTGTAGCCCAGATTGGCCTTGAACTCAGTACGTAGCTGAGGTTGTCCAGCCCTCTACTTCCCAAGTAGTATTTCATCATGCTACATTATTTTTTTGTCTTTTTGAGACGATCTCCCTGTAGCCCCAAACTGGCCTGGAACTCAGAGTCACCTGCCCCTGCCTCCCAACTGGTCTTGAACTCAGAGATTCACCTGCTTCTGCCTCCTGAGTGCTAGGGTTAGGGGGATACACCTTTCCCAGGTGCTTCTAATCAGCTTTTCCACCCTGAAATACCACTCAACCATAGGCTGGGTACATGTGATGAATGAAATTGTGACTTGCCTGATCCCGATCAATCATCAATCATGAGGAATTTCATTTTCATTACTGAGTCTCAAGCTCACAACTAGCTCTCCTTCACCTCACCCATGCTGGGGTAAAATAGCACTTGAATTATGGAATGAGGGAATCAGTGAGTGAAAGATCAACAAATAAGCATTTTCTCAAGGTCGTACCTCTGATTCATGTATCATCATCTTTCCATTTTAGTGAATGGGTTCAGGACTTGCTTTTTTGCTTGTGTAGTTGCAGTGGAGGTGAGGACCTGGATAGCTTCTTTGCCCTCCAAATGCCCAATGTATAGGAAACAAGAGGAGGCAGGGAAGTAAAATGCTATAAGGTTTTGGACAATAATAGAGGAATGATGCTAATATTATTGAGGGCCAGAACAAATGTATTTGACCCACAAAGCTTAAAAGACACTTTTTTTTTTTTTTTTTTTTTTTTGGTCTTTTTGAGACAGGGTTTCCTTGTAGCCCCAGCAGGCTGGCCTTGAACTCACAGAGATCCACCTGCCGCTGCCTCCAGAGTGCTGGAATTAAAGGTGTGCCCCACCATGCCTGGCTGACAATTTTTTAATTATATAAAGGGCTGGTTGTGTAGCTCATAGAGCACTTGTCTAGCATGAAGGAGACCAGGATTCAATCCCCAGCACTAAATTGTATGAAAAAATGATTGTGAATAGGGGGCTAGAGAGATGGCTCAGCAGTTAAGAACACTGGTTGTTCTTGAAGAAGACCTGGGTTCGAATCCCAGAACCTACATGACAGCTAACAATTGTCTGTAACTCCAGGCCCAGGGGAACCGACAGCCTCTTCTGACCTCTGCGGGCATTGTGCAACACGGGTGCACTTACCTACATGCAGGCAATACAAGCATACACATAAAACAAAAATAATAAAAAAATTTTTAAATGATTGAGAATAATTTTGTCAAGATATGTAAAACATATGAAGACACGTTAACAAGGCACAGATGCCACCTCAGAATCCAGTAGTAAGACTTAGCTTCCCTATCTTTACTGGACTTGAGTGCAGTGAAACAGATACTAACAGTCTCAAAACAGGGCATGAGGCAAACATGGACTAATGTTAAGAGCTTAGACCCTGGAACCACAAAGCCTTGGTTTAAAGCCTGACTTGCTACGTCCCAGCTGAGTGCTTTTGGGCAAATTACTGAACCTCTCTCTGTTTCCTCATCTGTAAAAGAGGAATGAATCATAACATATTTGTTGTGATGAGTTAATTTATGTAGACCTTGGAAGGTTGCTTGATATATGTTGGTAAGCACAGGGGAACTAGGGAAGATTAAGACAGCAATGGAGCATATCTTTCTGAAGAAGTGATTTTTACTTCAACAAGAAAGATTCAACTAGACATGTAACTTGAATGTAAGGGATTACAAGTTGTTTGGAGCACCTTGGTGGAGGAGGCCCACCCTGCAGGCTCCTCTGTCCATAGTATCCAAGTAGGCGGAAGTCTTTTGTAGAGAATATAAGTGACCAGTGCTGGCCATCAGTGCTACGTAGGTTTCAGTGAGTGGAGTGTCTTCTGAACTTGTTCTCTGCTTCCTGACCCTCTGCAACACTGGAGAACTTCCATTTCCAGGTCCCTTTTGTCTTTCCCCATACTCATACTGGCTAGAAAAATTCCTTCACCTACCCCTAAGACCTGGCAGTTCTTTTGAACTTTTGGTTTTGCTTTAGGTTGGGCTCACAGACGGTATGAAAAATGAGAAATTGGGGGGGGGGGTGTTATATAAGCCAATCAACTCTGTGTGACATAGCACATGTCAAAATTAAGGCGGAACAGAGCAGGCGAGTAAAGCAAAAGACTCTGATGCCACATCATTTTGTACTTAGGAGAAATGAAGTGTTTTTCTTTTTAGACCAAATCTCATTGTGTGTAGCTCAGGCTGGCCTTGAACGCATGGTCACTCCCCCTCCACCTGCTGTTGAAATTACAGGCTTCTGCCACCATGCCCAGCTAAGGCTGTTTTGGTTTTAAATTTTTTTTTCTTTTTTTTCAATATATGTATGCATATATTGCCTGTGCGTAGGTAAGTGCACCCATATCGTGCAATGCCCGCAGAGGACAGAAGAGGCTGTTGGATCCCCCTGGAACTGGAGTTACAGTTATTAACTGCCATGTGGGTGCTGGGATTTGAACTCAGGTCTTCTTCAAGAACAGCCAGTGTTCTTAACCACTGAGCCATTTTTCCAGCCCCTTGGCTGTTGTTTTTAAGACAGTCTCAGGTCTCACTATACAGCCCTGACTGGTCTGGAACTCGATTATTAGACTAGGCTGGCCTTGAACTCACAGAGATCTGCCTGCCTCTGCCTCTGCCTCTGCCTCCTGAGAGCTAGGATTAAAGGCATGTCCACCATAATGGATGGATAACTGATCCAAAAGGACTTGGCTTGTGTGCACAGAGCAAGATTCATGTTGCTCAGATTTTTTACTTGACCAATAGTTAAATGTGATGCTATTTTGTGAGGTCAAGTTGGAAGAAGCCAGAGCAGGGCTCAGATTTCAGAGTGGTGGTGTTTGCCAGTGGTGTAAGATGGGCTACATGTTGTTCAGAACTAGAAGTACAAGTACAGCTGTTACTCCCACCCTCGAACTCAACAATCAGGTGTTGGGACATTAGAGTTTCCAGCAGACAGAGCCACAGGAATAAGCAGAACTGCCTATGACAGAGAAATGGCCTAGAACAGAGACATGAAGAGGTGAATAAAGGTGACTGCCAAGGAGCCTAAGACATGATCAGCAAAGACTAAGAAGTGTCACAACAGTCACCAGTAGAGGTTCCCTAGAGGAAGGGATTCCACTGTTAAATCCCACTGAGAGGTCAAATACGACTAGAAAGTGTTCTCCTGAACACTTAGGCATACACACATGAAAATGTTTTTGTTTTTTTTTTACTTTCAAATTACTTATTTTTATTTTATTTTTGGTCTTTTGGGGTTTTTTTTAGTTTTGTTGTTGTTGTTGTTTTTGAGACAGGGTCTCCCTATAGCCCCAGCTGTCCTGGAACTCACTATGTAGACCAGGCTGGCCTTGAACTCACTGCAATTAAGAGCATTGGCTGCTCTTGCAGAGGACCTGAGTTCAGTTCCCAGCACCCACCCACATGGTGGCTAACAACCGTCTATAACTCCACTTCCAGGGGATTCGATACCTTCTTCTGGCCTCCAGGAAATTTGAGTGACATGGGTATACTTACATACATGCAGGAAAAAACACTCATAGAAATAAAAAATTGGCCGGGCGTGGTGGCGCACGCCTTTAATCCCAGCACTCAGGAGGCAGAGGCAGGTGGATGATCTCTGTGAGTTCGAGGCCAGCCTGGGCTCCATAGAGAATCCAGGCTAGCTAGGCCTACAGGGAGACCCTGTCTCAAAAAGACAGAAAAAAAAGAAAATTTATGCAGAAAAACAAGTGCCGTTTGAATGTAGGCTTAACAGCAAAGTACAATGTTTAAGCACCGCTTTATTAACTTATAGAGATCAGAGAGACAGGCATTATTCATCTGATTTTATATTTAACATCTATGGAGGGGACAACTTCAGCTTAAGCACCAGTGATCCTAGTCCCCACACCTACATGTATGTGGGTGTGTACCATGGTCCTCATATGGAGGTCAAAGGACAACTTTGTGGCGTTGGTTCTGTCCTTCCACCTTTACAAGCGGGTTCTGGGGACTGAACTCAGGCCATCAGGCTTGTGTGGCAGTTGCCTTCACTGGAGCCATCTTAGCAGCCCTATCTGGAATATTTCTATGCAGATCTAGCAGCTACTGCTGTCAAAGAGCAAAATGGAGAGCCAATGAACCTGGCACATCTGATCATATAACCTGAGCAGGGCTGATCTGTGCTTTCAGGTGTCACAGGGGAGGGTTGTTCTCAGGGATAAGCTAAACTAAGCTCATTGGGCTGTTCTCCAGTTCAAGGATGCTAGACACACAGATAAGGACACAAGAGAATAATAAAGACTCAAAACAAAACTCTTCTACGAGTCTGTCTAGGCTTCCCTCCTCTCTCACCCTGGAAAAGCTAGTCAGAGTCCTGGGCTAGAGGGCACACACAGGTCTGCTCCTCACCCACGTTCCTCTTCTGTCCTTGAGTTATGTCTAAGGCAGAAGGAATGAATGTCTCATTTGGGCAGCTGACACACGAGCCACCATTAAGTTTCACCTAAATTGTTGTGGTCTGTCTCACTATGGACCCAGGCTGATATGCCTATGGAACAGTCCTCAGAGTTTCAATCCTTCTCAGTCCTCCATGTGTTGAGATTACAGGTGTGTGTCATAACACCCAGTTTTTCATCTGGTGTTCCCTTCCCACCTCCAGTCCTGGTTCACAGCTCAACTACAGAGCAGCCATCTACCCTGTGGAGGACTAATGCCACAGCAGTATGGAGGCCTAGAAAGGCATGTGCCATCCTCACCTGTCCCAACTTCACACTAGGTATTCAAAGCTGTTCTGTGGAAGCTCCATCTCAGTTAGGATAAGGACAGCAGAGTACGGGTCTCAGTATCAGTTTCTCAGGTTGCTCTCATACACGCATCATTTTTGGAAGGCGCTGCAATAAGAGCCAGGCAACAGAATAAGGAATATTTATTCTCAAGTAGAGGAGCAAAGTCATATAAAACTGCAAGGGGTTCCCAAGTATCTGGTGTCTAGAGTCAGGACCAAGAGGAACCTAAAAAGGGACCCTGAAAACTATCCCCCCGACCCCCAACAGCAAAAAGCCAACTTTGTCACCTTTGTGTGATGTAAGAATTTATAAATGGGCTGCTAGTACTTTTTGGACTTCCCAGTCTCCAGAACTGTGGGAAATACATTTCTGTTCTTTATAGATTACTCAGCCCCAGATATTTTGTTACAGCAGGACAAATGAACTAAGGCAACAGTTCAAACAATCACATTAACTGGGTGTAGTGGTTTCTGCCTTTAATCCCAACACTTGGGAGGATAAGGCAGGAGGATCATTTTGATTTCCAGACCAGCTTGTACCCAGTGAAACATGACTGGTCTCTCCACACGGTCAGGTTGAGCTTTCTCCTCCTCCAGTAGACCTCCTTTATCCTTTTCAATTGTACTTTTGAGATAGGGTCTCAAATGTATGAATACAGCTAAGGCTGACCTATTATTCACCATGTAGCCCAGGCTGTCTTTGAACTCACAGAAATCCTCCTGCCTCAGCCTCTTGAGTGCTGGGATTGTAAGTATGCACCACCATGTCTAGCTTTACTATTGTTTTTTTGAGATAGGGATTCATGTAGCCCATGCAGGCCTCAAACCCCCTTGTAGGTGAATGCCTGATCCATCTGCCTCTACTTCCTAAGTGTCAGGATTACAAGCAAGTACCCTCATTCCCAGCTTCTTTTATTTTAATATTCCCTTCCCCCACCTAGTTACTCTTATCACTTATGATACTGCTTTTCTTTCATATACAAACTTCATTCCTTCATGAAACTTTCTCTAACCTCAGAAATCCTTACACAATCCTAGACACCAATGGCATGTTATACAGAATAGCCTGCACGTTAAATAAGAGATGGCAATAATAAAGGGGAAAGATCTATCTCCACGATTTTTCCCTCCCATCCCCCTACCTCAAGTAGCCCAGGCTGGTCCTAAACTCCTAGATTCCTGCTACACACCTTAAATGCTGGTTTTATAGACTTTTGCCTCCACCACACCAGACCTGTTTCTGTTGTTTTTTTGAATACAAGGCCTCAAAGTAGCATTCCTCCTGCCTCAGCCTCCATACTGCGGGCATTCACAGATGTACTCTTGGCCTCCACACCCTATTTGTATTCTTTTTCTTTTCCTAAGACTAGAAGGATAGGATTCACAGGTAGAATTTACTGACAGCAACCTTCGTTCCGGACAGTTAGCCTGAAGCCTGTTTTATTTGTAGGAGGAAAAAAAGGAATGTGAGTGGCCTCTGGCAACTGAGCAGGACACCTGTGGAGATGCCCAGTGCTCATGTTAGAACAATGACAACTGAAATAGACTAGGTTGAAACTAGTCTACAGAATAACATGTGACTTCACTTATTAATAGCCACAACAAGATGCTGCATCCTTCTGCTCATTAAAGATGTCTTAATAGCATGAACATTTCATAAATAACATCAGTAGAGTATGTCTCAAATGATTAGGTCTTATACATATAGTCCATAAATGACACTCAAAACAAAATACTCCAGATAGGCATGATGGTACACACCTGTAATCCCAGCATTCAGGAAGCTGAGGCAGGATTCTTTCAAGTTTGAGGCCAAAAACCAAAAACCAACAATATCCACTGTTCATGGATAATGGACATCCAACACTTTCCATTAGACCAAAATGTTCTTTATCTGACCTTCTCTATCCTTTCCCTGAGTTTCTCTGTTCTAGGATACAATTCATCATTTCACAGATATATAACTATTAAAATCAGTAAAAGAATCCCTGGGACCAAAGCTCACCAAGCTCAATGCATTCTTACACTACTGACAGCTCTGGGCTATAAGAGACAGAGGCAGCTGTGGACCACTGGACAGGCACTGGCAGGAATGAATGTGGACTGTCAAGTACGGTCTACAGTGACATCTGTGACATTCTAAGAGCCATCCACAATTATGCCCAAGTGCTGTTACAATGGGCATTCACACCCATGCTATTAATGGTATTTATTAGGTTTTTGAGACAGGGTCTCCCTGTAGCCCTAGCTGACCTGGAACTTGCTATGCAGACCAGGTTGGCCTCGAACTCACAGAGATCCACCTGCCTCTGCCTCCCAAGTGCTGGGATTAAAGGCGTGTGCCACCACACCTGGCCTGGGTTTTACCCTTTTTAAAAGATGTGTAAGTCTTTTTCTTGGGAATCTTCCCAAGAAACTATTCAAAATCTCACACATACATCATAAACTCCATGAAATTCATTCAGTGAATTCTTAAGAGGTCTAAGACTCTAGGTTAAAGAACTGTCCATCTACACTTCTACCAGAGCCCTTGGCTCCTGCCACTGAAGAGTTTGCAGCACACCTTTTCCCATTCCTTTTCAGACCTAGGGCTACCATATTAGATGCAGCCTAGGGAAGAGTCTACACACTTCAATTACAATCCTTTTGTTTAGTTATTTCAGATTTGGTCCACATTTTAGGAGAACATAAAATCTCCTAAAATACATCAAAGTTGACCAGGGGTATAGAAAGAACTCAACAGTCACCGACTGGGAGAAAGGGGCAGAATTAGCAGTCTGTTCGTCTCTCTGTGGCATTAAGGAAACCACATGGAAGTTAACCTTCGCCCTTTTCTTTCCCAGATGATAGAGTTGGCCTTAAAAGACACAGAAACATATATAAAGAAGATCTGGAATTAGAATAGCTCACATCACATAAAATTCCTCTTCCATGGCTGGGAATAATAGCTCAGTGTAGACTGCTTGCCGAGTGTGTACAAGGCCCTGGATTTGATCCCCAGCACAATACACAAAACTGTTCCTAGGAAAAGCAATCACTCCATGTCCAAGTCAAAGAACTGAAGAGGATGCATTCTGGTTCTTGCAGTTGTTTTGTCTTATCTGTACTGTTCTCTGTGGGTATCTATGGCCTTGGCCAGGTGTCATCCATTTCTATGGTTTGCACTAACTATTCTATACACAGATGCCAAGTCATAAAGGAGCAAAAACTTGACAGTTACTTTTGTCAGTTGCTTCTTGGACAGATTACCAGCTGTGGTCCATCTTTGCCCTCAGTTCCACTTGTTTGTACTCCAGGCACCATGAACACAGATCAGAAACCCTTGAGAATCAAGATCCCAATGTTTGTACTCATTTCCCAGCTCTGATAAAACTAGCCTCTGGGAACTGCAAGGAAAGTAAGAATTTGTGACTAGTGCTGACCATGTCTGGAGCTGCCTGGATCAAGGCTGCCAATCAGAAACTTGAAACTACAGTATTCATTGAGTAATCACACCTCAAATAACCTTTTATTAGCCTAGGGCTACTAAGGGCCAAGGTGATGTTAACTGACCAAAAAAAAAGGTGGTGCAAATACCAGTGAAACAGGTTTCATGGTGCTGGAGCTACTACTAATTCTCCATGATGATTCCTCTGCAGGACTGAAGAATGAGCCAAGAACCCACAAATAAGCACACAATGCTACCTGATGCAAATATGTCTTGCTACTGAGGGACAAACCTAAATAGTAAAGCCCCAAAGGCTGGCATTTTGGTCTATCATGGCAAATCTCTTCCTGGTGTGGGTGTTTAACAGATAGTGTGGTAATATTCAGATGAGCTAGCTGTTCCACACCAAGTTCTAAGCAGCAGCTCACAGGCCAGTTCCACTACCTCATGCCATTATCCTGACACTACCACTGGCTTATACACCTATCCTACTTGGGGACTCTCCCTTCCTCTGTGTTCCCTCTTCTCCTCTGTGCTGTCACTTCCACAAAGCTATAGGATGGCCTGAACACTCTAAGACAGAACAGATAAGGTTTGCCATAGGGAATCCTGGGTAAGGATCTCTATTATCTAAGCATCTAGAGTAGCGCAATGATGGGGACTGAAATGCTGGCCAAAAAAAAGACGGAACTTCTAAAGTGTAAATTTCTGTATATTCATGCCTAATCTTCCAAAGTTGTGTAAACAAATTTTCTACCATCCCCCATCATTTGCACAAATTTTTGTCAAGTCCAAACGTAATTCTGAATGAGGTAGGTAGTCTCTACTCAGGCCTTGGTCTTTGAGGTGCCTGTCAAGGCCTACGCCATTAAAGCACTGGTCTCCCTGAAGGGACAGCACTGAAGGTGGTGCCAGTTGCTGATGAAGCTTCTCAGTTGGCTATTTTCTCAATCTCGTCCAAATCATCCGTGTCCAATCTCTCTATCTTCTTATCTGAGGGGAAAAGAGACTTGAAGAGGGACCACCATGGACTTACCGTGGAAACACAGAGAAAGTCACTGAGAACAGCACAGCAGCCTGGGAGGGGCCAGGCTTTGGGCCAGCCTGATGCTTCATCTAACCTTTACAAAGATGTGCTTCCTGAGCCTGAGCAGCAGGCAGCAGGGTCCTGCTCACTGACACCAACAGTCAGACTCCAGGCCTTGGCCTGGCTCCCGGGGAACTGACATTCCAGTCTCGGAGCACTGATCTGCAGGTGCGCCCCCCGGGAACATCCAGAGGGGAGAGCAGAGAGCAACACGTGCGGGGGCAGAGCCTGTCTTGGGGCCACAGGAAAACCTCTCCTCTCCCACATCCCCCTCTGAAAGGGGTTCCAGGCCTATCAGACTCCAGGGACTCACTAAAATGCTCCTGGATTCTGTTGAGGATATTCATGCTGTGCTTGCTGTCCACCATGTTCACTGCCAGACCCCTCTTGCCAAAGCGGCCTGTGCGCCCAATCCGGTGTAGGTAGGTCTCATTGTCCGGGTTCCCGTCCTTATCCACGGGAAGATCAAAATTGATGACGACAGACACTTGTTCAACATCGATACCTGCAGGAAGGGGTTGGAGGGAGGGCCACAGACAGAGGAGTCAGGACAGGAGACAATGGGAGCCACAGTCAGCTACACACATCCACTTCCAGTGGAGGCTGAGCCTGACATAGGCTAACTCTGGGATGTGGGCATTAGAAAGGACACCTAAAGGTCTGTAGCAGAGACAATAGAACCTTGGCAAGCGCTTTTAAAACACTATGAAATCATAGGCCGGGCATGGTGGTGCACGCGTTTAATCCCAGCACTCGGGAGGCAGACACATGGTTCTCTGGGAGTTCAAGACCAGCCTGATCTACATAGTGAGTTCCAGGCTAGCTGGGGCTACTGGGAGACCCTATCTCAAAAAGAAAATTATGAAACCAGAAAGCAAGGTTCTGGTAGCCAGTGAGTTTCTTTCCACCAAGGCAGGACTGCTGGCTTCTGCATGGCTCTCCTCACCCAAGGAGAATCGTTCTCTCTTGGAAAGGACAATCCCACCCACCTCCTTGAGACCATGAATACCACCATCTTCCTCCTCACAAGGCCTGGGATCCCAAGCCTTATTAATCAGGCCAGTCTCTGCTCACCACGGGCACACACGTTGGTGGTCACCAGAACCTTCTCTTTGCCTTCTCGGAAGCGCTCAATCACTGCAGCCCTCTGTTCCACCATCATTTCACCACTCAGCAGAGCCACCTGGTGGCCCTCTTTTGAGAGCTCTGCCGCCAGCCAACTAGCTGTTTTGCGGGTCTGGAGTGAAAAGAATTGTTTTTAATGAAGAGACCTGTAAAACAAAAACAACAGAAACAAAGATATCCACAAAAATGTGGCCTGTTGCCATTATGATACATAAAGTTTCTGATGAGTTTAGTGGGCAGGCTAGGCTTAATAGACTTCATGTGGAGGAGGCGGAAAGCGTACAAGAGCCAGAGGATGACTGGGGTGAAACAGTGTCTTCTGGACATGACAGGGCCACTGCACTCATGGACTCACAGCAGCTGTGGTTATCTGCACAAGGCTTGAATGTGGTTAAGTCAGTCAACATTCCAGAATGGACTGGCGTGGTGCACATGAGCCCCCAACCCTAGCTGAGAGCTACTGACGGCCGATGGCTGTTACGGGAGGGAGAGTCTATTTTCTTTAGGGTTGTGATCCTTGGTAGGCTAACTGTGCTTCAGTGGATGGTCCCTCACCTGTGCATATCTGGACATCACTAACTGGACACGGGGTTATTTAAAAACAAAAAGAAAGGAATACAAAGTCAGGCGGAATCCAGGAGGAGGAAGAGGGGGTGCTAGGACTTAAATATGATAAAAATATACTGTATACATACATGAAAATTCTCAAAGAGTAAATGAAAATGTATTAAAATTTTTTTTCTCCTGGGTTGAGGGATGGCTCAGAGGTTACTAGCACTTGCTACTCTTGGAAACAACTTGAGTTTGGTTTCCAGCACCCAAATAAAGGATCTAATGCCCTGTCTCTCCTCAACAGGCTCCTGCACACATGTAGTTCACATAAACTCACACAGGGACACACACACATATATAAAAATACATAAGAAAATTTTCTCACATCGAACTTAGGCCACGTTTTTGTCTGGATGAACTAATTAATTAGTGTTGCTTTTTCATGTAGGGAGAATGTAGATGGAACCAAATGTCTTTTTTCTAAGTAGCCCATATCCTTAATATTTTTAAAAAGTAGGAAAATATTTATTTGGGCTGGCAAGATGGCTTAGTGGGTAAAAGTGCCTGCTACCCACATCTCACAACCTGGGTTCAGGTCCCCAGAACCCAAGTAAAAAGCAGATGCACAAACTCACAGGCTAGCTAGCCTGCAGTACATAGTGCAGCAATAAACAATGAGCACCCCTGCCTCAATAACAAGGCAGAAGACAGGAAGGACACCAAATTTTCCTTCACATGGTCTGAAAATGCCCCCCCAACATATAACAGAAAAATAAGTATTTTTAACTTTTTTAAATTACATTTATTTGTTTATTTATTGTTTTTTGTTTTTGTTTGCTTTTTGAGACAGGGTCTCCCTGCAGCCCCAACTGGCCTGGATTCACTATGGAGACTAGGCTGGCCTCAAACTCACAGAGATCCACCTGCCTCTGCCTCCGGAGTGCTGGGATTAAAAGGTATGTGCCACCACACCTGGCTACATTTACTTTTTTTAATATTTTATTATTTTTATTTTATGTGTATGAGTGTTATGCCTACATGTAGATAAGTGTACCCGTGTTGTGCAATGCCACAGAGGTCAGGAGAGGGCTTCCGGTTCCCCTGGAACTGGAGTTAAGGATGGTTCGTAGCTGCCATGTGGGTGCTGGGAATCAAACCTGATAGGTAAAAAGTTGGCAGAGAATGAGCAAATGGAGGATGAGGCACCGAGGCACAGAGAAAACTCCATCAAACTAGGGTTTATTAGCAAAGGAACACATGGGACAGATTCCCTTCTG